ATGGGACAACAAGTGCAAACTCACCAAATAAAAGAGTTAAAAAAAAGGATTGCTCGTCTACTCACTGCCGACGGTAATAAAAAATAAATAATATATGAGCCAAACATTTACGGGAACAGTAATTAGTTTAAAAAATGCTAAAACAGCGACCGTAGAATTAATTTTTACCAAATTACATCCTAAATATCATAAGCCGATTAAAAGCAAGAAAAAACTCCACGCTCATAATGAGGAACATGATTTACAATTAGGTGATAAAGTAGTAATCAAAAGTAGCCGTCCTTATTCCAAAACTAAAAGATTTTTAGTCATTAAGAAAGAAAATTAAATAATTATGTTACAAAACGAGTCAATTTTGTCAGTGGCCGATAATTCCGGAGCCAAAAAAATATTAGTAATTCGTTGTTTGGGTGGTTCCAATCGTCGGTACAGTCGGATTGGTGATTTGGTGAAGGCAACAGTAAAAAAAGCCGATCCCCACGCTAACATTAAAAAGAGCCAAATAGTAACCGCCTTAATTGTGGCTACTCGCCGCCATTTTCGTCGCCAAAATAACACTTGAATAAAATTCAGTAAAAATTACGCTGTCCTGATAAAAGAAGACGGCAAGGAGCCAGTGGGGACTCGTATATTTGTTCCTTTGTTAGCCGAATTTGACCAGTGAGGATACAAAAAAGTTTTCTCCTTAGCCCCTGAAGTTTTATAAAATAATAAAATTATGACCAAAACTAAATTAAAAACTGGCGACCAAGTAAAAGTTATTACCGGCAAGCACCGCGGAACAATTGATTATATTTCCCGTCTCGACTTGAAAGAACAAGTAGTCTATTTAAAAAAAGTTAGTCGAAAAAAATACGATAAATCCACACCCGAAAATAAGAAAAAAAGTGAATTAAAAGAAATTATGATCCCCCTTCATATTTCTAATGTGGCTTACTGATTAGATAGCAAAAAAAAAATTACCAAAATTGGTTTTCAGGAAAATGAAGGAAAGAAAGTACGGATAACCCGAAAATTTAAAGATAAAAAAGGTAATAATTTATTAATTGACTAAAATATAAGAAATAAAACATATGCTTATCGAAAATAACTGGTGAGAAGCCAAAAGAAAAGAAATCAAAAAAACAGTAGGAGAAAAATTTCAACATTCTTCACCAATGCAAACTACTGACATTGAAAAAATAGTTCTCAATAGTGGTGTCAGTCAAGCGGTTAATGACAAGAAATTATTAGAAAATACTGAAAAAACTCTTATCCAGGTCGCCCATGGTCAAAAGCCAGTTATTACTTATGCCCGTAAGTCTATTACCGGTTTCAAGTTGCGGGAAGGAATGCCGATTGGTTGTAAGGTAACATTAAGAAAAAAGAGGGCGTGGGATTTCCTTTTTGAATTAATTAATATAAACTTTCCCCTGATTGCTAACTTTCAAGGATTTTCCATCAAGAAATTCGATCAAAAAGGAAATTATAACTTGGGATTAGACGATTTAAATATTTTTCCGACCGTTCCTTATGATTTAACTTTTAAAAATCAAGGGGTGCAAATTACGATTGTTTTTAAGTCTTCTTCGGCGGAGGAAAATGGTTATTTTTTAAACTTGTTAGGTTTTCCTTTTAAGGAGAAGGAAAAAAAATTGTCAAAAAAGAACTAAAAAGCAAAAACTTTCTGGCTGGTTAATAAAATGGTGTTATGAAAGGCAAAGAAGAAGAAAATGAAGTCATAAACAATCTGTTGGCAAGGAAAAAATATTGGGAGAGAAAACGGGATTTTTACCATCGTTTGTTTCATACTACTCTTTTCAAATTTAACTTCCGCTTTTTAGGGAGAGTTAAATTACTGTGTAATTATCAATTTTTAGAAAAACGGAAAATAATTTCGAAAAATGTAGTAAATACCAGCGAAGGGTTAACTTTTTTTATTTTGCTCTTCTTTTTTCTTACCTCTTTTTTTTGTGTCTTGGCGGAAATATTTACTAAAAACTCATGAGTGCGAATACTTTTTATAATTTCTTTCATTTTATTTTTTGGTAGTTTGTTTTTTTATGTTTATTTTTTGGGATATTTTTGCGATTACGACCGGAAATTAGAAAACTATCGGCGAAAAATTAACGAACTTAACGAACG